ACACACACATGCATGCACACACTACATGCATGACTGGTGCTCACAGAGGCTGGAAGGAGTTGAATCCCCTGGAACTGGAGTCACAAGTGGCTGTGAACCACCACGTGGGTGTTGGGAAACAAACCCAGGTCTTTCTTGTATAAAGAATAGCAATAGCAAGTGCTCATAACTGCTAGGCTATCTCTCCAGCTTCAGCAGATATATTTAAAAATTGTGTGTGTGTGTGTGTGTGTGTGTGTGTGTGTGTGTGTGTGTGTGTGCAGAGAGGGAGAGAGAGAGAACACATATACAAGTGACATTACAAGCAGATGGAGGTCAGAAGACAATTTTTGGAAGCTGTCCTCTTCTTGGTTGTTTCTGCTACAACACTGTGTACTCCAGGCTAACTTGCTTTTTAGCTCTGGGTGATTGTCCTGTCTCCAACATCCATCTTGTTTTGTTAGACGTGCTGGGATTAGAAATGCACAGACAGATGTATTTTAAAATCTTTTAAAATTATTTTTAAACTTCCTTTTATGTGCTTGAGTGCTTTGCCTATATGTATGCCTATGACCACATGTGTGCATGGTGCCCATAGAAGTCAGAAGAGGGCATCATATACCCTGGGTGTTGTGAACCACCATGTAGGGAACTGCTGTGGAGGAGCAGCCAGTGCTCTTAACCACTGAGCCATTCCTTCAGCTCCAGAGAGGCTTTTTTTGTATTTTTGAGACAAGATTTCTCTATATAATACTCCTGGCTGTCCTGGGACTCTCTGTAGACCAGGCTGACCTCGAACTCACAGAGATCTATCTGCCTCTGCCACCCAAGTGCTAGGATTGAAGTCATGCACCACCATCATTTTAAAAACGTAATTTACATTGCATTGATGCAGTGAAATAACTCCCTTGAGTCTTAATAACTTTGGGCAGGGAAAGTATAACTTTCTGAAATAGAAATAAAATTTAAGTGCTTTTTTTTTTTGAAACAGGATCTGATGTGACCCAGGCTGAATTTTAAACCTGTTATGTTACCATGAATGGCATTGAACTTCTGATCCTCCTGCCTCAGCCTCTTGAGTGCTGGAATTACACGCATGTACCACCACACCTAGTATATGAAGTGTTAGAGACTAAAGTCAGTTTCATTCGTGTTAGACAAGCACTCTTAACAGCCAAGCTACATCTCCAGACCATTAATCCTCATTTTAGTGAATAATTTTAAGATTCCCTTTACTACTTTGACAAATATAAGGAAAAATTTATTAGATTTTCATTCTCTGCTTTGTTCCTCCTTTCCCTGTTAAAGGGGCAGAAATATAGCAAGACCTCAAATCTGTAACCTAGGTGCCCTAGTTAGCCTTAACTGTCAGCTTTACACAGCCTAGAGTCACCTGAGGATAAATCCAAGTTGAGGGATTGGCCAGATCAAATCAGTCTATAAGCTTGTCCGTGGAATATTGTCATGATTGTTAGTTAATGTAGGAGGGCCCATCTCACTGTGGGCAGCACCATTTCCCAGGCAGGTAGTCCTGAGCTGTATAGCTATATAGCATGAGCCTGGAAGCAAATCAGCAAGGAGCATTCCTCCATGATTTCTGCTTTAAATTCCTGCTTTGAGCTCCTTGGCTGGCCTCCCTCAATGGTATGGAAATGTAAGCTGGATAAACTCTTTCTCTTCTGTAGTAGTTTGAATGTAATTGGCCTCCATAAGCTCATAGGGAGTGGCACTTTTTAGGAGATGTGGCTTTGTTGGAGTAGGTATGGCCTTGTTGGAGAAACTATGTCACTGTGGGCTTTGAGGTCTCAAATATGCCCAAGCCTCACCTAGTGTCTCAGTTCACTTCCTGTTGCCTGTGGATCAAGATGTAAGGCTCAGTTCCTTCTCCAGCGCCATGTCTGCCTGCATGCCACCATGTCCCACCATGATGATAATAGACTAAACTTGTGAACTATAAGCTAGCCCAAATTAAATGTTTTCCTTTATAAGAGTTGCAGTAGTCATGGTGTCTCTTCATAGCAATACAAACCCTAAGACATCCTCTAAGTTGCTTTTGACTGTGGTGTTTGTCACAGCAACAGATGAAACTAGCACACTTGGAAATCAGAAAGACCACTGTTGACCAGTAGTGGATATAAGCTGTTCAGATAGGGACAGCTCCTTGACAGAATGCAGAGGTGAAGGATGTGTGTGGTTGAGAAAGAAGGAAGGAGGTAAAGAAGAAGATGTCAGCCAGCTCTTGTCAGAACATAGATTTCCATTGACCCTTGGATGGTAGAACTTACTGGACCTTGTCCTCTTTCTTGCCATGGGTTGTTCAGGCCTGGTGATGGGTAGGAGTCCTATTTAGTTTCACCAAACACAGCCCAAGCTACTAAGATCAAAGCACAGTTGACACCGTTTGGAGACCTGCCAGTGGAACCAACTTATCTTGAATAAATGGAAAAGCTTGGAAGCTTCTGTACTGGAGGTAGGGTTTTCGACTAGGAATCCAACATGGAGCATGGAGCACATGGACTAAGGAGAAAACATGGAGCTTAGGAGATGACTTGCAATTCTACTCCCCCAAAAATGCTCAAAAAAGAAAGATGTGGGAAATAAGTACATAAGAATGCTTGCCGGGCAGTGGTGGCAAACGCCTTTAATCCCAGCATTTGGGAGGCAGAGCCAGGCGGTTCTGTGTGAGTTTGAAGCTAGCCTGGTCTACAGAGTGAGATACAGAACAGGCACCCAAACTAACCCTGTCTCGAAACCCCTCCCCCAAAATAAAAAGAATACTCATAACAGCCCAGGTGCCTGCCGTGTTTTCCACATAGTAGCTACTCAGTAAATACATAAAATTGAATTAAATACATCTTTACATCCCACGTGTGACTTCACTAGCCAAGTGACACATTACCTTTGTCATTAGTTCAGATGCCTATTTTTTTTTCCTTTTATTTTATTTTACAATACCATTCCGTTCTACATATCAGCCACGGATTCCCTTGTTCTCCCCCCTCCCGCCTCCTCCCCTTCCCCCCAGCCTACCCCCCATTCCCACCTCCTCCAGGACAAAGCCTCCCCCGAGGACTGCGATCAACCTGGTAGACTCAGTCCAGGCAGGTCCAGTCCCCTCCTCCCAGACTGAGCCAAGTGTCCCTGCATAAGCCTATTTTGTAATCTAGATTAAATGCTTGAAGCAGGAGTGTGAGAGATGGTTCAGCAGTTAAGAGCACTGGCTAATCTTCCAGAAGACTTGGGTTTGATTCCTAGCATCCACATGATGGCTCTCCTCCCGGGGGATCTGATGCCTCTTCTGGCCTCCTCCAGCACCAGGTATCCATGTGCTGCATAAACATACATGCAGGCAAAACAGCCATACACATTTTACAAAATGAAAAACAAATACTTGAAGCAAATCGTTTTATTAAGCATTTCTATTTTGGTCTAGCATTACTTTTAATAAAACATGAGATGGAGGTCCTTTATACATTTGTGTGTGTGTGTGTGTGTGTGTGTGTGTGTGTGTGAGAGAGAGAGAGAGAGAGAGAGAGAGAGAGAGAGAGAGAGAGAGAGAGAGATGTGTTCGGGTGCCCATGGAGGCCAGAGGAAGATATCAAATTCCCTGAAGTTGAAGTTACAGGGTTGTAAGCCACCCAATGTGGATGCTGGAAATTAAACTAAGTACTCTTAGCCAAAGCCATCACTCCAGCCCTTAGAAATAATTTATTCATGCTTAAGATATCTGTGTAAGTGCTATAGGGCACCACTATCAGGCTGTTCACAACTACTCGTAAGTCTAGCTCCAGGGGATCTGACACCCTCTTCTGGACTCTATATACACTTGCACTTAAATGTTTTTTACTAAAAAGTTATGCAGGAGGGAGCATTCATACAATTGAATGCTAGTAGAAGCATTTAAAAGTGAACAGGCAGATATTCTGCTTACTGCTTTCTCCAAAGCTGACCTGGCCCAAAGTCACTTTCAAAAAAGCATTTTCTTAGCCGGGCGGTGGTGGCGCATGCCTTTAATCCCAGCACTCGGGAGGCAGAGCCAGGCGGATCTCTGTGAGTTCGAGGCCAGCCCGGGCTACCAAGTGAGCTCCAGGAAAGGCGCAAAGCTACACAGAGAAACCCTGTCTCAAAACACCAAAAAAAAAAAACAAAAAACAAACAAACAAACAAAAAAAAGCATTTTCTTGTAAAGGACCCGGGTTAGGTCAACCCTAGAGTTCTGTAGTAAAAGTCCATATACACCTTCAATCTCAGCACTCGGGAGGCAGAAGCAGCCGAGTCCCTGAGTTCAAGGTCAGCCTGTTCTACAGAGTGAGTTCCAGGACAGCCTGGGCTGCACAGAGAAACCCTGTCTCAAAAAGCAAAACGCGCGCGAGAGAGAGAGAGAGAGAGAGAGAGAGAGAGAGAGAGAGAGAGAGAAAACAAATCCGACAAGACAAAGGCTTGCACACAAAACTGTTCATCTGCTTTTCAATTTCAAGGCAGTTTCTTGTTGACAGAGCTCAACACACCTAACAGCCAAAAGAAAAGAAGAGAAAAAAAAAGAAAAGAAAAGAGGTGGGGGCGGGGAGGGGGTGGGCAACCCCACAGCATTGTGTCAGTTGAAACAGGAGACAAACAGGAAAAACAATCTCTAACCTCCACTCAAAGCGGGTTTAGTTGTTCTGTGGCCAGGATTAGGGTATCAGGAAAACAAGCAAAGCATCTGAAAGGCTTAATAATTAACCTCCATGACTTGGGCTAATATTTTCATTAGAACAACTCATCTCCTACCGATTATTTGTGGAACGGTTCGGGCTCATTGACTTTTCTCCAGACCCTAGGTCAAAACAGTATTCTCTCAGTTGACTCAAAGTGGGGCACCCCCACCCCTACCCCCACCCCATAGCTGTCTGATTCAGCAGATGCTATCAAGAACTGAGTCTTCTCTTGGTGTGGAAGAGGGGGGTGGTTCTTGGCATAAACTTCCTGTCTTTTTCTACCAAACTGTCTGTTCCATAGAAGGGCTGTCAACGTTGGGAAGCGTATGTCACTGGTTTTCATCTGATGAGGAAAGTACAAATGTTCCAGGATGTCCTCATCTTGTTTCATTGAGAAGGTAAGCATCCTAAGACAGCGACCTCTTCAAACAAAGGGGATCGTTCGTTTTTGCTTGCTTTATAAGTTTATTTATTTAGTGTGTGTGTTTGTGTGTGCGTGTGCACGACACACACATGTCCTGCTACAGGTGTGGAGGTCAAAGGACAACTTAAGTGAGTCTGTTCTCTCCTTATACCATGCGGGTCACTGAGATTGAACACAGGATTGGGGCAAGTGGTTTTGGTTTTTTGTAATTGTTGTTACTGAAGCAAGCTTCCTATGTACTGCCACGCTGGCCTGGAACTCACTAAGTAGCCTAAGCTGGCCTTAAACTCTTGGTGATTCTTCGGCCTCAGCTCCCTGAGTATTGGGGTTACAGGTGTTAACCACCATACCCGGCTGAAGGAGATGGTTTTGTTTAACTCCAAGGTCTGGTGCTTGGCTAACGTCAACATTAATGGAATGGAGCCATGCTGTATAATGGCAGTACTGTCTCTACTATCTCAGTGTGGTGGCCAATAGACACAGGGGACTTGATCTGGTGTGACGGTTGCAGTTAGCAATGACATGAGTGGAAAGATTGTCCGTTTCTCAGCTACACTGACTTACCTTGAAACTTCTCACCATCATACTGAGTCAGTGTCTCTATGCCAATGGGTCCAAACTGAAATTACAAGCAAGCCCTGAGATACTCTGAGGATTGAGTTACAGGGATGAGACGCTCTCCCCGGGTGGCACCCCACCAACAATGCCAGTAGAAGTCCCCTGGGGTCTCTGCTGGGCTTTCCTCTCTTCCCTTGTGGCACTTCCTTCCTGGAAAGTCACGAATGGGAGATGAGATTGCATGGCTCTGATGTCAACTAGGACATTTGGGTTTGAAAGCATCAAAGTGGAAGCTAGCACTTTGAGAGACATAGTGAGGGTGGGGTTTTGTTGGAGATGGCCCCTCTCTGTTAGCTCAACCCACCGAGGAAGGCTTGTACCATCTGCTCCACCTTGGCACCAAGGACACTGAGAGAGGAAAAGCTGTCCCAGAGGAAGAGGCGGCCAGACCAGCCATTCTAGCAAAGTCACGTTAGATGCAATGGAAATGTCCCTAAGGAAAGAGCTGACCTAAGTACTCCCACCCTGAAAAAAATAGATGAAGTTATCTTGAGAAGGAAAAGTCAATACACACAGGGATAGAGATTTAACAAAGACTTCAATCAGGCCACAAAGGTGTGTTAGACACCAAACGTTTTCTTCCTGCTCTTCAATCACATTTCTACAATCTCAGCATTCAGGAGGCAGGAGGATCAAAAATTCACAGCTAAGTTAGGCTATATGGTCAGGTCAAGGCAAGCATGAGCTATAATGAGACCCTGTTTTAAAAAACTGGAGGGAGGGAATCACATTTCTTTTTTCACTGTTATAAATATTCTAGATTCAGATAAATTTTCACACATTTTGATGAATGTTTTTGGTATATGTTTAAACTAAAGAGTCTGGATATGCAAAAAGTAAAATTTTAATCTGTGTTCACTTTTTTCAAAAGGAATGTCAACATACACATTGTTTGCAGTATACAAGTATCTGTTTTCCAATACCCTTCACCAGATGTTACTAGTCCTCAGAACCTACATTTTGGCAACACAATGGTAAAGTAATTAATGTATGAATCCTTCACTGGATTGCAATTCTTTGTTTCATAGTAGAGCTGAGTATCCTCCTGCCTCCACTTCTCCAGCTCTGGGATTGTAGGCGTATTTACACAGTGCTGGGGTTGGAACACAGGGCTCCAGGACTCTAGGCCAAGCTATATTCCCAGCCCATTACACAAGCTAACTAAATTTGATCTTAAATATTCTTTGAGCATCTGTACGTGGTCAGCCCTGTCTCAGTCAGCTGAGGTAAGTGTCCCTGGGACAATTTACAAATTAGTAGGGGCAAGGACAACTTTTATTTTTAAAGATGTGGCAGAGGTAGCTCAGTTGAAAGAGCAGCAGACCAAGGATCTAAAAATGTGGGGCTGTGGATGTAGCTCAGTGAAAGAGCACTTAACCTAGGTTGCTTGAGGCCTTAAGCTTAAACCCTAGCACCACAGAAGAAGAAACACCACGAAGTGTCAAAGAAACAGAAAATTCAACCACTGGAGTTTGGAGACTCTGTGAGAAGTTCTAGAGGTGATCCTCATGCCGGGTCTTGCAAGCCAGACCCATGGAGGAGAGGAGGAGAAAGCAACCTGAAGAAGAACCAATGCTGAGAACCGGGCAGAACATCTGTGTCTTCTTTGGGATGACTGTGGCAGGGGATTGGCGTGGAGGCATTGGGAGAAGCCGGAGAAGCAGGGTGGAAAATGAGTTCTTACAGGCTCTGCCGAGGAGTTCGGACTTCACAAGAAACCAATGAAAGGCTTATGATGGTTACAGGAAGGGAAGCATACACAGAACTGCTTCTCGGACCAGTATGCTGCATGGTTGTGGGTAAGCGTGTCTGTACGCTGAAGCCAAAATCAGTCATTGATAACAGTGGAATGTGCATATACAGCAGTGCGCACAGACCAAGAGACCTTTACAAGGTGAAGCTGCAGGCCTTCTAAGCCAATGCAGTGGAGAAGAGAAAGCAGATAAGGACCATTAAGGCTTTGGCTAGTGGAAATCTAGTGGATAGGAATAACCCTGCTACCTTCATGGAATGCACTTGAAGTAGTACAGCCAGGCCAGCTAAGGGCATGGCTCAATTACAAGACAGAGCAGGGCAGCAGGGCTGGAGGAGGCTGCAGAAAGGTTCAGCGCTTCCTGTGGCCCTGTGGCCCTGGCATCTACTCATCCATTCCAAATCAAAAGTAAAATCAGCTTCCACGTCACTGCACTTAGAACAGCCATTATGAAAATACTGATAGTACTTACTGATGGAGATGATGAGAAAAGGGAACCTAGCTTCAGACATTGTTTGAAAGGATACAAATGAACAATGACACCCTAGAAAACAATGTGGGGTTCTCAAGAAACTAAAACCAGAACTTCCTTGTGATCCACCCATACCACTCCTGGATATATCTGTGAAGGAGATGAAATTGGTATGTGAAAGAAACATTGATCCTGCTGTGTTTACTACAACACTATTCACAGTAACTGTCTTAGTTACTGTTTTATTGACGTGAAGAGACACCATGACCAAGGCAACTTAACACTAAAAAGCGTTTAATTGAGTGCCTGCTTACAGTTTCAGAGGGTTAATCCGTGATCATCATGGCAAGGAGCATGTCAGCAGGCGGGCAGGCAGGCATAACCAATATGAACTTTGCTTTTTCTCCCCCGCAGACTTTTTTTGTTTACTTCATGGAAAGTTAATCACCACTCCTTCGAAATGAAAATTAACTCAGATGAACTGAGTGTAATTTTGCCAACATTATATTGTTTAAATTAAAAAAAATTTTCATATGCATATGAGTGTTTTGCCTACACGTATATCTGCATAACACTTTCATACAGTGCCTTAGGAAACCAGAAGAGAGCGTGGGAACCCCTGGAACTGGAGTTACAGACAGTTGTGAGCCACCATATGGGTGCTGGGAATTGAATCCAAGTCCTTTGGAAAAGCAACCAGTGTTCTTAACTTCTGAGCCATTTCTTATCCTTCAATACTATGTTCTTTTGTTGGTTCTTTTGTTTTTTGAGACAAAGTCTCTCTGCAGAGCTGTATTGAAACTCACTATGTAAGCCGGGCTGACCTCACATGTATGGAACTCAGCCTGCTGAGTAATGGGATTTAAAGGCATGTGCCCACCATACCCAGTGTACTGGCTACTTCTATGTCTACTTGACATAAGCTATAGCCATCTGAGAAGAGGGAATCTCAATTGAGAAAATGCCTCTATAAGATTGTACTGTAGCCTGTAGGGCATTTTCTTAATTAGTGATCTATGGCAGGGAAAGGGGGGGAACAGGCAGTTGATTGTGGGTTGTGCCATCCCTGGACAGGTGGTCCTGGGTTCTTTAAGAAAGCAGGCTGAGCAAGCCATGGGAAGCAAGCCAGTAAGCAGCATCCCTCCATGGCCTCTGCATCAGCTCTTGCCTCTAAGTTCCTGCTGTGTTTGAATTCCTGCCCTGACTTTGATAATGAAAGATGATGTGGAATCATAAGCCAAACAAAACCTTTCCTCCCATCTTGCTTTTGCTCATGGTGTTTCATCACAGCAGCAGTAACTCTCAAAAAGGCATATGGCTTTCTTTTTTGATGAGTCTTTTGAATATGCCAGTTTCATACAATTTTCTCTTCTTTGCATCATTCCCAACAGTTTTGGGTCTTGTAGAATTCCAGTATTAGATTAGGATCAGTCATTCATATTCAACCATCAAATAATCATGGGATCTGAGAAATATAAAAATGTGCCAAATTGGGGCTGGAGAGATGGCTCAGTGGTTAAGAGCACTGGCTGCTCTTCCAGAAGTTCAGAGTTCAATTCCCAGCAACCTCATGGTGGCTCACAACCGTCTATAATGGGATCTGATACCCTCTTCCGGCATAAAGGTGTATATGAAGATAGAGCACTCTTGTACATAAAAGAAATAAATCTTTAAAAAATGCACCAAATTGTAGGCCACACTTTCAAGGAAATTTCAGTTCACACAGACAAGGGAGGAATGCTAAGGATGTGAAAAAATGCTAGGGACACAGATGAAGGTGAGCACCCAAAGCTGGTGGACTGTCACTTTAAAAACTCCTAAAAACAATAGAAGAACTTCTTAAAGGAGAGGCTAGTCACAAGAAACCCAGAGTAAAGGTTCAGATGCTGAAGAATGAATGACAGCTCACAGTGCAAATGAACACCCATTGAGGCTGACTCAAAAGGACTTGCCGATAGGATGGCTCAGAGAAGCATGGGAAGGGGCAGGGTTGCTGTGTGTGTGTGTGTGTGTGTGTGTGTGTGTGTGTGTGTGTGTGTGTGTGTGTGTGTGTGTGAACAAAGCCAAGTTAGGCTCAGCTCTTAGAGGACAGAGTGGATTCTCTGACACTGGCCCTGGGTTGGGGTATGAGTAAAGATACGAATGTGGAAATAGCTTTAGTGTAAATGACAAGGGGAAGGATCATAAAAATCACAGGGATCTACCTGCCTCTAATTCCTTAGTGCTGGGATTAAAGGCATGCACCACTATGCCCAGATTAACTTTATATTCTTAAAGAGAGAATTTAAGGCATTTAAAAGTAATTGTTTGTGGGTCTCAGTCTATGAACGAGCATTAAGTCATAGAGAGTTATGTGTATTAATAACCATATTGAACGTTTTATTTCCTAAGAGGTTCAGTCATTTACATTACTGGAACATTATGTTGAAATCTTTACATGATATTGGTACATTATGCTTGTTTTAAATTCTCACAGCCATGAATGGAAGTGTGAGGCAGGGGTTTGTGTCTACAAGTACTAATTTGGCATACTGTTGGAGTTTACACCAAAATGTTTAGCCATGCCCATTCAAACTTCCTTTGTCTGTATTTATAAGGAAGTGTTGGATACACTAGACCATGTGGTGGTTTGAATGAGAATGGCCTCCATAAACTTATATGTTTGAATGCTTGGTCATTGAATGCCCAGTTTGTGAAACTTACCTGAAAAAACGCTAGGTGGTGGTGGCCTTGTTGGAGAAGGTGTGTCCTTGTTGAAGGAGGTGTGTCAGTGGGGGTGGGCTTTGGGGTTTCATTCTCTCTGCCTCTGCTTGTGTCTCAGGATGGAGGCTCTCTGGTATTGCTCCCCTGCCATGCCTTCCTGCTTGCTGCCACGCTCCCCAACGTGATGGCCATGGACTAAACCTCTGAAACTGTAAGTAAGTCTCCAATTAAACACCTTCTTCTTTAAGTTGCCTAGGTTGTGGTGTTTCTTCACAGCAATAGAAAAGTAATTAAAACAGGCCAAATACTTTTGTTTAGAACCTGTCGTTTTCATAACAGAATCTTAAATTACTCCCTCTTGATACATAAAGCATATAAATTATTTAGTATCTCAACATTTCTATCCTTACATGTTGGCCAGTGATGTTGATTCTGAGCTCTCTACCATGGTGTAGCTGTCAGCAGCCTAATGGTAAGTATTTTTGAGGACTGTAAAAGATGTTATACAAAATTTCTGTTGCTACAAATCAGAGATGCTACATGGGTTGTTTACCACACCCACCCACCCATCCAGGCATTGTTAGTCAGTCACAGAACTTTTTCCTTCTGAGACTAGACTCATAGAATTTCACAGCACAATTTACGCGGGCAGCTACTGTAAACAGATCAAAGTTGAAATGTACGTTGAAACCTGCTTGCCATCCTAAGGGACAATAATCAAAATGCTACCGTGGAACTGTGTACTGTACTTAATTAGGCAGGAACATTTGGACAGTATGTAGAATGCACTTAATGTAGTGTGCTTTGTGATTGTAACAACGGTATACTTTGAAGGAATCACTATTCCATATAGCATTACCTTTGACCAAGGAACAAATTGACAGCCACAGAAGTACAGCACAAACCATGGAGGAACATTGTTTGCTCGCTCAATTGCAGACCCATGCTTAGCTGGCTTTCTGCCTAGGGAATGGTGCAGCCCTTGTAAGCTTCGCCCTACATCAACTCACAATCAAGACAATTCCTCAGCGACATATTCATAGGCCAATATGATCTGGGCAATCCCTTAACGAGACTCCCTTCTTAGGTGACTGTAGGCTCCATCAAGTTGACAGTTAAAACTAAGAAGGCCACGAGCACATGGCTAGCCTTCTCCTTCGCTTTTTTGATTCAGTGTGAATCACCAGCTCATGGTCCACTGCTGTGTATATGCAGGGTGGGTCTTCCCAGTCTTCTCTGGAAACACACCCTTGGACACCTCCACATGTGTGCTTCACCATCTTCTAAGTGATTTGAAATTCAGTCAAGTTGACAATGACAATGAGCCATACAAAGAAACTAAGCTGTGGTTTTAATTTTGTGAAGACTGGAAGAATCTTCACATTGTTGCCATACTCTCTTGATAGGGGCGCATGGAACATAGAGTCAACCCATTAGCCCATTTTGAATAAAATGTTTCCTCATTGTGTTCCAAAGCCTGAATTTTTCTTACTTTTTGATCTTGTTACTGACTACATTGTTTTCTATCTTTACATCATTTTATTATATGTGTGTGGGTGTTTTGCCTGTGTGTCTGTGTACCATGCTTGTGCCTAGTGTCTGAGGAAGCCAGAAGAAAGCATTGGCTCTCCCAGAATTGGAGTTACATATGATTGTGAACCACCATGTGGGTGCTGATAACTAAACCTGGGTTCTCCGTAAGAGTAGAAAGTGCTTAATGAGCCATCTCTCTGGTCCTCAGAATAGTTTTTGACCAAATATCTGAATACCTTGTTCCAGCCAAATTAATGAAGTTATAACCATTATGTGAAGAAATTTGCCTCTATTACAGTTCTTTGTTCTTTTCACGACCTTCTCTTCTCCCCAGAACAAAGCCTCTGTCTTTCTCACAACTGTCCACTTTCTCCCACAGTTTCCCATTACCTGCCAGCCTCCCCACCTCTTTTGGGAGACCAAGTCTCACTGTGTATTCTTGAATTAGCCTGAAACTCACTATGCAGACCAGGCCAGCCTCGAACTTGCAGACACCTACCTGCTTCCGCTGGAATTAAAGGTATATGCCATCACACCAGGCTTCATTTTCTTTTTATTCCCCATTTATTTTTCTCCCACAAGTGCTCATTTACTCAGAAATGTTTTTGTTCTCCCTCTTTTCTAATTATCCACTCTTACGCAATGTCCCACACTACCACACAATCCCTCATTATGGTCTTCAGTTCTTGTGCTTACACAATTGCAGTTGGAACATGTTACAAATGAGGCAGGGCTCTCAGGGCCAGGATGAGTTTGATCAAATGCTCTGTTGTGATGTCTTCTTTTCTCTGTGTTCTTTTGAGGACAACGTTTTGACTATTCTCACCATCTTCAAGCCAGAAATGGAATAGGAGGCAAGAAAGAATTGATATGCAATCATAATGCCTTTATTATTAGGATATGAAGAAGTACAGCCAGCCAGCAAATCAAACAGCTATGAGGGCAGAAACTGTGTTTTTGTGTGCATTTGAAAAGGTAGGTACTCACTAAAGATTTTTGGGGAATTTGTTGCATGAACTAGTGTACTAAGTACTATAAATTGTCTTTCTGTGTTTGCCACCCAATAATATTCCTGCTAATGGGATTAAGAAGACCTGTGAAATTCAATGCATGTTACTGTTTATTCACTTTGTTAAACTACCTAAAATGTGATTTGAGATACATACATGCTTGTATTATGAACAATAAGCAATAGGAGATGTTAGGTCTTATCATCCGCTACTCTCTTTGTAAGCAAAGACAGTTGCTTTAAGAAGTAATTATAAGCCAGGTGGTGGTGGCACATGCCATTAATCCTAGCACTTGGGGCAGAGGTAGGCAGATCTCTATAAGTTCGAGGCCAGCCTGGTCTACAGAGCTAGTTCCAAGACAGGCAGTGCTGTACAAAGAAACCCTGTCTTGAAAAACCAAAATAAAAAGTCATTATACTTAGGAGTGGGCTATAGATGTCATATGTGGTATTTTTTAAAGATAAACTTGTTTGCTTCTTGTGTAATATACCTGAAAGCTTTCTTTCTTTCTTTCTTTCTTTCTTTCTTTCTTTCTTTCTTTCTTTCTTTCTTTCTTTCTTTCTTTCTTTCTTTTAAGAAATGTGTTTTCAGGGACTGAAGAGATGGCTGCAAGGTTAAGATTACTTTGTGGTCTTGCAGAAGACCAGGATTTGGTTCCCAGCACCCACATGGCAGCTCACAACCATCCATAATTCCAGTTCCAGAGGATCCAGTGCTTTCCTCTGACCTTCATGGGAACTAGATATGCATGTGGTGGTCGTATATACATCCAGACAAAACACTCACACACATGGAAAAGAAAAATTTAATCTTAAAAAGTATTTTAAGGGAAGAAATGCATATTCATGGTAAAGAACAGGAGGAGAGGACCTGTGACTATTAAGTCCTCTTCACCTATCAACTCCTTGCTACATCATCCCTTTTGAATTTTATTTTTTTGGGGCGGGGGGAGTCACATCTCAGCTGCAGGTGGGGCAACATCAAACCAGAGAAACCCTGAGGTTTGTCTTATTTGCCAGAGGAGCATCTACACCATGAATGTGATTTGAATGAATGAGTCGGGGATGTGAATACAAGGGCAGCAAGCTGGTTGTAACTTCTCCTCATTTTTCTTGGACTGGAAGGAGGAAAGATAACTGAGTGTGTACCCTCACAACCAATTTCAGTTAGATTAATGTTCAGATGCTCAGTCCCTACATAGCAAGAGGGCACTGGTTGCCTTTAAAAAAAAACCATCTGTAAGAGACTACAGGAAATAGAGGAGAGTGCTTATTTGGTACCTCTGCCTTGCATTTAAAGTCAGATAAGGACAAAGGACTAGAAGCACAATTTCACAGTCCCGGTTTAAAGGCTATGAAAACTGGTTGAAAGGAACATGAGCCCACAGTTCAAGTTCAGAGGATGTTTAGAAACTTGGGTAAATTGAGCTGAAAAGTAGTGGAAAAGAACACATCCAACATTTCGACTTTAGCATGTCAAAATCATGGTATTCAGAGATGGACGAAACTTGAGGAAAGCCAATTTTTAGACTTAGAGGCTTTAGGCCAGCTGTCTGATTTTATCCAAGAAATAATGCTTTTGTCCCAGAAACATTGCCTGCCGCAGGCAAAGCGAGAAAGGGAGGCGGGAGAGTGAAGAACTCAGAGGCGTGGCTCGGGCTTAGAGGCGTGGCTTGCGTAGGGGGTGTGTGTCAGGGCCGAGAGCAAAGGCACGCCAGGTCTAATGGGGCGTGATTAGGGCGGTCCCTGCGGCTTTAGCAGTGCTGGAAGGGGTGGGGGCGTGGCTTATAGGGGGCGTGGCACGGGCGCCAGAGGGCGAGGCTTTGATGGACACTCCCCAGTTGCGGGTCCTGGGAAGCTAACTTGCGAGCGGCACTTGTTAAGTGCTGTCCGAGAATCGTCCAGGTAAGGATGGGCAGCCGAATGGAGTGGGAGCCTCAGGGAGGATGGACAGACCCAAAGAGGGCCATGACCCTTCCCACGACCCTCTATCCCACCGATCCGGGGCTCCGGGCAGCGACAGCTGTTGATTCTGCGAGTCTTGCCTAAGTCCGTGGGCCTGACTGGGCGTCGTCTTCTCTGCTTCAGTCCCCCTTTCTCCACTCTTGGGAGTCACCAGACTCTTTCACAGTTCTTTTGCACTTGAGAGAATTGTGGGGGCACAGGAGGAGCAGTCCCTTGTGAGGGCACGTCGCCAGAGTTGGTTGAATCTAAATAAGAAAGTCCAACCTGCTAAGAAACAGCTGGAGACGAGGGTAAAGGCTACCAATTCTGAGGCTTCCTTCAGAAACTGAGGCGCAATAAGTCAAGACTCTGACTGGCGTGGTTTCTTCTTCATCCCCACCCCCACTAAGCCAGGAGCTGCAGACAGGCTCACAGCCATCCCTAGACTGTGGAGTACTGTCACAGCTCTACTTACAGAAATCAAAAACTTTTCCACTCTGAAATTACTCCTTCTGGCCCTAACTTTTTGTGACCCACCCAAGACCTAGAGGAGAGGTACCTCCAAAAATACAGAATGGTTGGTGGCTACCATTCTTTGGAACATTCCTTATGAAGTATTTCTGTCCTGAGAAAACTTGTGGCAGCTTGTTAATATTAATGTCAGTGCCCTCCCCCCCACACACACACACACCGTGTACTTTCCCTGGGAAGGTTTGAGAAACATTAGGAGCTAATGGGCACACCTTAGTTCGGAGAGTACTTGTGCCTTCTGAGCCGTGGAAAACCTCTTTGCTTTCTGCTTCCTGGTCTCCCTTTGTTGATACTCTGCTGTCTTCTGTATGTGCTGCTGTTTACAAGCTGGACTGGATTATGAATAGAAGTAACCCCATTTTCTTGTGAGTGAAACTGCCGAGGATCCTTTAGCAATGCCTGCACATTGCCCAGAGTAGCTGATGTTCACAGATATGTTGGAAGTGGAAAGCCTTTCCACTTTCTGGGGCGTTTCTTCCTTAATTCACAACCTTTAAAATCAGGCTAGAATTCCTTGAAGGCCCAAGGCAGCAAGGGTACCATTGTCAGATGGGAGTCCTGCTCCCAGGGAAGAAGTGGGTGAGAGGAGGAAGCTAAGTTTTCTCTATCAAGATTTGGCAAGATAATCTCCAATTCAGATTTGAGGAGTTGCAAAAGGCTTCCTTTTGAAATCAGGAGTCAGTCGGATGAGAAACAATTTCTTTCAATGTGATTGTAACCTTTATCCAGAGTACATTTTCTTTCTGCCGTCTGTTTTGCACAGAGAAAGTTTAATTAGGCAGAGTTCAAACCACTTATCACAGTAACTACACAATTTATGAATGAGGCTTTAATAGTTTTTATGTTTTCTCCTTTTCTCATACATTTGTAAATCTGCACAATAGCAGACATGTCAGTAAAAATCCAAGGATTTACATAAGTAATCAGTGATAGCAAAGGGCACATGCGTAGATGTGTAGAAAGTTTAGCTTCCCTATGGCACATGATGCATCTCTATGAGCATTGTGAACACAGGTAGATTCTTCTTGAAATGCAGTAATGTGTAGTGGTAGATCATTGAGATGTGGTATGTTTGATAGTTAAACGCTATTTACTGTTTAACAAGATTGGACAATTTGAGTTCTGTAAGTAAGTTATAAATAACCAGCTCTCAAGAAATTATTACTTCCAGTTTACCAGAAAGGATTGACCCTAGACCTGAACATTAAAAAAACTAAAGTACTATTTTAGATACTGTCGCCTAGCATTAGTTAGAGTGGGTTTCTAATTATTCAGGTTTTCTTGGAACTCTCTTCACCCCTGACCATGCATGTTCAGTTTCTTTCTGGACTCGTTGTTCCTTTGCGGTTGGCTGCACCGATAATTGTCCCTTCTGCCATCCTCCCCCGGTACACCTGTAGCTCTTGGAGGGGGCTGATTTTCCTTATTGTCTAGCTTTGTAACCGCTCCTGCACACTGGCACGGCACTGCTGACTTCCCAGACCTTCCTTCTTTGCCCTCCCATTGGTGTCCCCCATTGAGTACGGTAGATGGCGAAACCACCATGTTTCCTTGTTTCTCATGCCAGGGTCTGTTTCTCTGTTCAGAGATTCATTCTTATTCTACCTGCTCTGCAATCACAATGCCTTCTTCTGTTGGTTCATCCAGTGTAAACCCCGCTGCCTTTCTTTTAATATCACAAATGGCATTCTACTACTGAGCTCCATTCTCAGACCGCTCAGGGCCGTTTTGTTGCTGTTGTTTGTTTGCTGTTTTGTTTATTTTAGCTCTGACTGGCCTGGCATTTGCTATGTAGCCCAGGCTGACCACAAACTCACCATCATCCTCCTGCCTCAACTTCCCAATTTCTGGGAATATAGATGTGTACCACACCCGGCTCCAAGGGAATTTTTTTTTTTAGGCAGGGTTTCTCTGTGTAACACCCTTAGCTGTTCTGAAACTACCTCTGTAGACCAGGCTGGTATTGAACTCATAGAGATCCAATTCTGCCTCCTGAGTGCTGGGATTAAAGGCATGTGCCACCACTGCCCAGCTCTGGGAATTTTGTTTTGTTTTGTTTTTTGTTTTTTGTTTTTTTGAGACAGGGTTTCACTGTGTAGCTTTATGCCTTTCCTGGAACTCAGTCTGTAGACCAGGCTGGCCTCGAACTCACAGAGATCCGCCTGGCTCTGCCTCCTGAGTGCTGGGATTAAAGGCATGCGCCACCACCGCCCGGCTAGACTGTCCTTTCTTTAGACGACTCTTTAACAAATTCTCTACCCCTTTCAGTCCTTAACTCAAATATCACTTCGTCAATGAGGCCAAATATAACACTCCTGCCGCAGTGGCACTCCTGATTTATTGTATCCTGATCTATATTTCATCGAATGTACTTGAATCACCTCTACAACTGACTTACCACACTACTTGTTTATGATCTATTTCTCCCTAGTAAAACATAAACTTCACAAGGGTAGAAACTTGGCTTTGTTCCCCTGAGCCTAGAAGAGGC